TCTCATCTCGGAGACCATTCTCAAATTTGATACACTTAGAGAATTCTCCAGCCTCATCATTGTTGTAGTGCGCATAATACTTTGCCAATTCCGTGAACTTAGTAGCATACTCACTAACAGTCAGATTGCCCTGCTTAAGCTCCAAAAATTCAATTTCCTTTCTTCCCCGAACATCTTCAGGAAAGTACCTCCTCAGAAAAGCCCTTCTGAAGTTAGCCCAAGTCAGTGCCTCTCCATCCTGAACCATTTCAGTCCTTGTTGCAACCCACCAGTCGTCGGCCTCTTCTGCCAACATATGCGTACCATATCTGACTTTCAGATCTTCAGCACAATCAATCACACAGAAAATCCTTTCGATTTCCTTCAGCCACTTCTGAGCACCTTCAGGGTCATGTGTACCTTTGAACAACGGAGGATTGTTCCTTTGGAAGTTCCCCAATTTCCTATCAGCACCAATCACGCCTCCATTTGGATTTCCAGCAAGTACACCAGCTAACATCCCCAAAGCCTCAGCGAGTGCAACATCATTTCGTCCGTTACCTCTTCCAGCCATATTCCTGAGAATTAAAACATACTCCTCATTAGAATACAGTATCGACAGTGTTACCTTACACTAATCGCATACAAAAGGGATGACTGACTCAAGACTCTGGTCGCAACGACCGACTATGCTCTGATACCACTATTGTAACACCCTCTAAAACCCCGCATAAAATTTCGCAATTAATTAAAATCATATTTTCAGAGTACATGTATTAACGAGGATGTCACAATTCTCTTTTAATAAAAACAAGTTCCTGTCATGCATAACATAGAAGCAACTCATACATGTTTACACAGCGGAATAATTTAATTAACAAAACCAATGTTATAATATTTTCAAAATCATCAGGGATTAACACCTGGAATATATCAACATCATATTATAACAAACATAAGGAATAAACGAGTCTGACTAAAGCAGCTTGAAAAACAAACGTTCCCGGAGTTACAACTATCAGAGCATGACTCGGACAATACTTAAACGGAAATAAACTAGAAACAACAAGCCTTCGCCAAGCACCTGAACGAAGCTCCTCAATCTGAAATATTCAACAGTAAGGGTGAGCATCTCAATTATACATTTGATTATACGTTCATAACAATCAATTCAGAAAACCATAAGCATCACCCAAACAGTTAGCATATTTCATAGTTTACGAAAACCTTTACAATTCATATATTCATAATATCTCACTTTTCATACTTATAATTAACATCAAACATCATTAATAATTTAGCAGCAATACATGCATACAATCAATTAAATACAACATTGGAAAATCATCCATTCATGTTATATTCAATATAATGCAACACACCCATGCATGTGGTACCATTTTACCGCCCCATTAAATCTCGGGTCACGGATAACTCACCGTTCCATTATATCGCGGACACGGCTACCACCTCAACGTTCCATTAATCGCGGACACGTATATTGGCCACCATGTTAATTCCACACAATGGGAATTAACAAATGCAACATGATATGTACAGTATGTAACACTCAGCATACTATTAACATCAATAACCATATCATGTGACATCAACAATATCAAATACAACACGATATGAATAGCATGTAATCACTCAGCATACTATTAAACATCAACCAATCATATCAAGTTATATCATAATTCATGCTTGATAACCTTATCTAAAAGCATGACAATAAAATCCATATAGTGTTGGTATCATAACATACAATCGTTATTCGATACAAGTATCAATCAACACTAGGAAATCAATAAACAGCATATGCAAAACATATCAAACACTGCACATCAAAACAGGATCAATCCCGTACATAACAGCATGCACAGAAAACAAAATTCAGAAAACAACACAGGAGGTTTAACACGGGTGCCCGTGTAAATCAACACTGCCCGTGTGGAAATGTGTCCAGAAAACACGTTATTTTGCCAATACAGGGGATCAACACGGGTGCCCGTGTGAATCAACACGGCCCGTGTTGAAATGTGTCTCGAAACACATTTTTTTTGCCAATACAGTGAATCAACACGGGTGCCCGTGTGAATCCACACGGCCCGTGTTGATGAGCGCGAACCCGGAAATTCCTGTACCTGCAGCAGCTCAGAACAGCATCCAAACACGAAAAATACCAGCCAAAACGCACATTTCGGTACATAACAACATCAATTTTGTATAACTCAAAACAACACATCAATTTCATAATTACCAACAATTATCAAAGTAACCTTAAAAGTGATTATTCGTCCTTTTGGGGAAATCTGATAACATCAAGGTTATCCTTAGAACACCTAAGGTAAACTCACGATCATATAATTTTGATCTAAATCAACAATAGGGATTAATTTCTTAATCGATTCACAACCTTTAGGGAACCTAATCTCTTCTAACAAAATTCGACCCTAAAGTTATCAATCACTAAGAACATCAGAGAAAATGGGGTTATCCTACGATTACCCAACCAATTGCATCTAAACCCATAAGCAAATATAAATTGAGTAGTAGCCCACATTACCTTATCAAATTGCAGCTTGAGTTCTTTGAGCGATGTCCTTCGTTCCTTCAGAGCTCAGCTTCCCAATTTACCAAATTCTGTGTTATCGTGAATAATGAGAAAATAACTTGAGTTCCAAAACATATCCTTATTTCTTTTGCACCCCCACTCTTTACTAACGACATCCAAGCCCAATAACTTAAAAACCCAATGTTTTCTTATTTCTTTTATTTTCTTCAAATATTCCAAAATAAATAATTCCTTTTTATTTTATTAATTCTAATAAAATAATTTCCCAATTTAAATAAATCAGATAATTGAAACTGGGGTGTTACAGCAACCATAATTCCCTTCTATTTTTTCTTATAATCCTATCAACAACATGTCTCCTTCTTCTCTTTTTTTTTTTAATTCTCATTCAATCCAAAGTCATTGCTTTAATCTCTGACACCTTCTCCGATAAGGTTCCTTATTCATCACTTTTCAATAATCAATTCTATTTTTAGTTTAGGATTTATGCATCTTGCTCTTCTCAATCCTTTTCCTTTCACTTTTAAAGTTACCTTGACTACCATTTTTGTTGCAGCTGCTCTCACCCTTTTGACAAGCCAAATTATTAGAATTTTGGGATTTTTTTCCACTAAAATTTTAAAAATTCCCTTTACTGTTCATGTGCCATTTTCCTTTGGTCTTCTTGTCTTTTTCATTGAAACGAGCTTACAAAGCAATCTCCGTCTTTGTCTTACAAAATGATATTTGCCTTTACTCATGAGTCTCAAAAGATCTTTGTATCTCCCCTTTGCCTATCGTCGCAAGATCCTTTAATTCCTCAATCTCTACGACTATGTTATCAAATCTTGTCGTCAAATAACACAATATTTTTGCGACAACATACTGCTCAGTGATCGTTTCTCCACATGCTTTTACTTGGTTCACCAACCGAGTAATCCTCGTTGTGAAATCATTGATTGTCTCATTTTCCTCCATTTGAGTCAACTCAAATTGGCATTTGTGAGTTTGTAACCTCACAATCTTCGCCTTGTCAGCCCATGCGTACACCTTATACAAGATTCCCACGCTTGCTTTGATGATTCAGAATCACCAAATAACACCTTGAAATCTTTCCCCCATTCATTTTGTGTAGCTCGCTGTGAATCCGTTGCACCTTCGACAAGATGACTCACCCCATTCTTGACCACTTTAAAAACATCTTGGTAGTCAAACAACACCTTAATTTGCTTGCACCATTTTTTGTATTTCTTCACGTTAAGGATGAGTAGGTGTGTAGTGATTCTTTCATTAGAGACATAATTCATGTTGCACACTGGGTGTTTGGTGGATCGAACTAGGATTTTAATGCCAAATGTTAGAACTTGAAACCACAAGGTAGGTAAAAATTAGAGGTGGCAAACAGGCGTGTCCGCCCTGCAAAAGCCTGTAAAAAACAGGGTATGACGAGACGAGCTTTGTTGAGGGTGCGGGCCTAGAATCTTGCCCCGCCCAAAAAAAAGAGTGTGGTGTGGGTCGGGCCCGCGAGCATTGCTCATTTTAAGCCTAAAAATTACAAATTTTCATGTTAATGCTCGTGCCGGTAAAAGTTTGCATAAAAACGGGGCAGAGTGGGAGAGGACATATTTGATGGTGTAGCCATAAAATCTTTTCTCGCCCCACAAAAAAATGCTAGTAAAATGGACATGTCTGACGAGTCGGACCCGTTTTGCCACACATAGTAAAAATGGAGTAATTGAATGAGGAGAGTGAGGGAGAGAAATGTGATTAGAGAGAGTATAATTGAGAGCAAGAAAATACACAACATCTTATTCATTGATACCTCTCAGGCTCCAAAGTATTTATATAACTTACAATAGATTGAGATACAAATAACAAAAACTAAAAACAGAAATTAACTACTTATAATCAGTTACACAAAACATGTAATCAATTACAACTAATTCTACAAAACAAAAATCATAATAGTGATAATCAATTAATGCGAATGCTAGCCGATCACACTATCAAACAAAACTTTTTATTTTAACTTTTTTATTATTTTAGCAGATATAATCAGTTACACTATCGTGATAACCGATTATAACACTTGTTAGATTTTCACTTAATAGAATTTAAAATTAACTTTTGTCAAAATCAAAAACCAAAATCTCAGGCATCTACTCCGAATGGGCTTTAACAAAATGAGTAAGCTAATTATGACAAAGGGACTAAATTTAAAATTTTTAAAAGTATCAATTAAAGTGAAATCTAAAATAGAATGAAACGTAGAATTAAGCCTTTTTTTTTTTTAATTAAAAAACCTTGTTTTGAAAATTGCCTTCAGGCTCAGTGGAGCAAACAAGGCACGAGACACAGATATATATACCCTCCATCACGCGCAAACCACGTGACTGCTAGATCTTGAGAGTAAAATCTTGCGGTGGCGTAGCAAAAAAGCGAGAATCAAATCAAACCATAGATCATGAAAACTCGCCGTCCGCACACTCCTTCCGCCGCCGCAACCGTAATTCCCTCCTCCCTTCTTCTAATCCTAACAACAACATGTCTCCTTCTTCTCTCTTTCTCAATTCCCTCTCAGTCCGAAGTCATCACTTTAACCTCCGACACCTTCTCCGATAAGGTTACTCATTCATCTCTCACTTTTCAATTTCTCATATTCATCAATTCTATTTCTAGTTTAGGGTTTGTGCTTAACACGATTTTATTTATTTATTTATTTTAAGATTTTTTATTTGATGTTCAGATTAAGGAGAAAGATACTGCGTGGTTTGTGAAATTCTGCGTTCCCTGGTGCAAGCACTGGTAATTAATTCTTTAATATACTACACTTGTGGTTATGTTTAATTTATTCTTTTTTTCAAATTATTATCGGTGTCCACGTATCTCTGTCAAATTATTATCGGTGTCAATATGTCTTTGTCAAGTTATGTGTCAAGTTATATCATCAGTGTCGACGTCTCAGTGTCAGGGTTTTCGGTATTAACTTCAAAGTGGTTGTTATTATTAACGTCCGAACATTTTTTATGATCTTAGGGTGATTATAATTGATTGACAATGTATATGAATTAAATTGAAATAATATTAGAAACAATTGTTTGTTTGCTTTCCAGCAAGAACTTGGGCTCTTTGTGGGATGATGTGGGGAAGGCTATGGAAAATGAAACTGAAATAGAGATTGGAGAAGTTGATTGTGGCACGGATAAAGCTGTTTGTACTAAAGCTGATATTCACTCGTATCCGACGTTTAAGGTTTTCTATGACGGAGAAGAAGTTTCCAAATATCAAGGTAATTCATTGTTCTGTAAAATATATGGGTTTTATTGGATTTTGCTCGATTGTTATGTAAAGATTATAACCATTTATGAGTTGTGGGACAAAATTTTCATAATGTATGTAGTACTTTGTTTTAGGGAAAATTACACTGACATCCCCTAGTTATGTTAAAGTATCGGTTACACTCCCTCTAGTTTTAGAAAGACTCAAACCTCCCTTGATGTTTATACTGTTAGATTACCGTTACTCTGTTAGTAATAGTGAGACAGAAAGAAAGGTGACATTGTCATGAAGTTCTTAGGCTGAAGCTCATTTGTGAACTACTAGACTGTAATCTTGGTGCCACTTATCAAATGCATTTAACATCCTTATTTTGTTTATGTGATTTACCAGCTAATGGATAAACTTCTCATAGACTCATACAAATACAATAACATCTTGATATATTTGAATCTTAGATTGTGAAATTAGGGATTCGAAATAAACAAAGGTTACAGAAATGAAAGGGAACGGCAAGCATGGGTGAAAAGAAGTGTTATCAAATAGCGGCGCCATGGCCACTATGGCAGATTTACATGGCGGTTTTTGGGCCGATCTTGCAGGTTTTTCTGACATAACCGCTATAACGGCACCGCAAAGCGGCTGGTGTGGCGAGATTTTGGCTCTCCGCCATGGACCGCCATCGACAACAACACTGGTGAAAAGTCGAAGCTTTACTAGATATCCACTTTCTGGCGTATATGTGTTTCGTTTATTCATCAGTTAGTGTCCTTCAAATCTTTTCTTTATACTGAATCTTCCATTTAACTTTTCGATTTGAACTCAACGGAGGAGTACTCATTTAAATGTTTCATCCATGGAGTGAGAGTAGCTTCAACAATGGGGGAGCAATTTCAAAGTAGCCGCACTAGTGAAAGAAGAGGATTAGCTTTTAGAACTTAGGTTGTTACTTTTTAGCGGTGTATAAACAATGTTAATGTGAAAGGGACGTCTCTTTCATTTGAAAGAATAATTAAGGGATGTTAGTGTCTACTTAAAAACTAGAGAGGGTGTTTATATCATTTAAAGAAGGGGAGGTGAGCAATTTCCTCTTTATTTTACAGTTTTCTTCTACTATTTTTTTAAGTAAGACAAAAAACTAAAGAAGTTTAACAATGCATGTTAAAGGATAATGTTGGTATGTGGGGACACTAATTGGTCTTGTAAGTTCTCAAGTCGATACAGTGGGTAAAGGGTATTGTTTATGATATAGTTATACTTTAGATGAATTCTAAGGTAGTGGTAGTGGTCTTTGATTATGGTCTAGTCAATAACTCAAGAAGATTATTCTGAGCTAAGTGCCATCATAGGAGAAATTCTCTTTTCTTTATTATACTAATAAATTTTAGAGTGATTCATTTTATCAAGAGAAAAAATTTGTCATGGGTTTAATGAAGGGAATATCCTGTTAAAGGGAGTATTGCATTATTTTTACTTGTTGATGTTTCATGTTTGTCTACACCCATGGTTCCTTGGGTATAACTTGCCTTGAATTAGGATAAAGCCCGTTTGATTACTGGTTTTGCAACGGTTTTTTTTCCAACTTAAATTCTACTATTTGAAAACAGAAAATAGAAAGAAAATAGGTGGTATTTATGTAACAAAAAGTGAAAATAGAAAGCAATTTCTCAAACCGAAGTACTGAACAGACCTTTTCCTGCCACAATCCATTTTTTGAGTAGAAGTGTGAAAACATTCTTTAGTTTATGTTTTATTCATTTGTTTTCATGGATTAACAAGAATAGAATCAAGCTTCTGCTAGAATTTCTTCTGGAATTCTTTTATGATAGGCACCTTAAAATATCAAAGCTAAAAATAGGAATTCAATTTTATGAACATGAAAGTTCAGGTTCGAGTATGGTGAATTATAATTTCAGTCTTGGACTACTGAATTAGAAGAATAAATGACAAATGAGTGAATGACTAGTAAAGCAGAAAACTTGTGGAACAAAGCCAAGGCTTACAGGGCCTACAAGCAATCCAAGAAGCCCATTTTCTCCCATGTCCCAACTGATTCACTGCCTGCCTCTCTTCTTCTTCTCACCCAATATACTAAGTACTCACTCTCTAGAAATGCATCACGTACCTCCCCACTACGCTTCCCACACATAGGAAGTTGGTTACCTCGTCCCCCTCCTCTCTCAACTAAATCAGATTAGGTGCATCACACATTGTTCTGTGATAAGGCACATCCTTCCTCTCTGGCCTCCTCTCATAAACCTTAGTTGTTATGGGTCTTGGGTTCCCAATAATTTTATATATCAAGTTTGGAAAACCAAACAAAAATCTCCATTTTCGGCGCATCTACACTATTATGATCTTTCTGATATGGAAATTTAGAACAAAACCCTCACTCGTTTTTTGCTGATGATTGAAGGTGCAAGATGACACATGTGACGTGTTAAATAACAATGTTGGTCAAATGACTTTTCTGCTTACCAGATCTTGCGGTCTGTAATTGTATGCGATTGTGTGAGCTTATGGTATTACCAGGTAGTATGCACAGTTAAATAAAGTGTCATATCTAATACACATTTTTTAGGAAAAGTTTCCCTTTAGCAGAGGTCAACACTACTATGAATATATCAGTCCTGAATGAAGAAATATATTCGTCATTTCATAGAGAAACAAAAACACCTTTTTTATTGGAGACTCAAAATTATGAAGTTATTGATCATAAACTAAAAAGTATTGACACAGATACGAGTCTCAAAGTTAATAATTTGAAAAGTGAAATATATAAATGTAATTATATGTGTCGGGGTAGCATTTGTGTCGGACTCGGACCTATGTTGACATTGGATATACCTTTAATATGAAGGGTTGATTTTACATAGATCTTAAACCGAATCTTATATATGTATGTGGTGAAATATTCAGGTAAAAGGGATGTTGAATCATTGAAAACTTTTGTTTTGGATGAAGCTGAAAAGGCAGCAACAAAAGCACATCAAGCACATCTCGACAGTGATAAAGAATTGTAACTAGTTTTGAGGTAGCGACCGAGCCTCCTGCTCCCTTCACAATTATTCTTTTATTCTTGTGATAGTATGTTGCAAGGGAGGACTTAAATTCTCAGATGATGGTGTTAAATCAGTGTGTGAGGCCATTTTTCTTTTTTGTTTCACATTTGATATTGATTCTAGGAAAGTTACTGTTGAGAATATTTTAATTCTTGTGCACAAATTTCCAATTTAGGATGAATTAACTGAAAAGAATGGTTAGGTCGGTAAAAATATTGGTTAATCATCTACATTTGAAATATACTCACCACCATATTTAAAGTTATACTTTCCCTACAATCAGCTCTTATGGTAGACTGGTAGCGTATCAGTTGCACACACCCGAGTAGCAAAGATCCATTATGTTATGTTTTGATTAACATTTTTGTGTGGTTGTTTTGCGGTTGTGAATTTAGAACTAATTCTGCGCATTACCATTTTTTGTTCCCGGTTTACATTTATATTTGTTCTTTCATCTCCTTGTCTTTCAAATGTTCAAACTATTGTACGGGACCTACGTGTGCGATTATGTTATTTCTGTTGGTTTGAATATGATGGTAGTTTTCTGGGGGTTTTGAATAGACAAATTCCTTTAGTATTTTCAAATAAAATAAGAGAAACCTGCGGAAACTTTTTGATGAAAACTTATTTAAAATTAGTTAAGCAATTCAAAAGGTTGGTTGTAATGATACACACACCATATGTAATTCAAGAGAAACAATATACTAATTAATCTCCAATATATCAAAAAAGAAATTTGATAATTTATGGATTAATCAACGATTAAGCAATTTGTAATCACAGTTTGACAGTGAAGAACAGATTCTTTGAAAAATTCAATATAAGAATATTGCATGAATTTTTTGGGGACAATTTATTTGAAAACAGTTTCATGCAATTTGAGTATAAATCAATGATTAAGCAATTTGTAATCATTATAAAACAAGATTCTTTCGAAAATTTAATCTAGTCAGATTTAAGCTTACATAAATAATTTCTAAGAAATCGTGAAAACTTACGACAAGAATTCATTTGAAACTTTCGAAAAACTTTTTAGGTGAAAATTTATTTGAAAATAGTTTTATGCAATTCCAAAGTTTTATCGTAATGATCCACACCATTCATATGTAATTAAAGAAAGGCAATATGCTATTTAATCTTCAATACATCATATAAGCAATTTGATAGTTAATAGATTAATCAATGATATAAAACAAGATTCTTTGGAAAAATCACCAGACCTAAGCTTACACGATTAATCTCTATAAAATCAACAAAACTAGAATCATGCAATTATTGTTCAAGAAAAACCTACCACGTAAAAACTAAACTAGAAACCTAACAAGAAACCTAATGAGAGAAAAAGGGACAAAAGAGTGCTTCAGAATTTATATTGGTTCAATATTTTTGTTCTCACTTAGAGTTGTATATAAATAATCATAGTGTGTATCATTATTTGTATACTTGAATAATATAAATCTTTATTTTCTTTATTATTCTCTCTTTCTCTCCTCACTAAAAGTGCCTCACGCACTAATAAATTGGTATCCAGAGCTTTCGGTTATTGTTCTTGATCAAGTTTTCAAGAATTTCACGTCAGAGATCGTTTTTCTAGGGCAAATAAGTCAACCGCTGCGAAGATGGCTAGTGATAAGGGCATTCCGAATTCTCTTCCAATGATTAACGATAAAAATTGGATTCGATGGAAAAAATATATGCAATCCTTGTTTGGCTTCCATGAAATCCTAGACGGCGTTCCTGCGTTGGCCGCAAATGCAACCGACGAACAGAAAAAAACCCATAACAAAGTCAAGAAGAAAGATTGCAAGGCTGCTTATTGCATTCAAACGGCTGTCGATGCTGCTAACTTCGACAGAATCTCTCATGCTGAAACGACGAAGGAGGCATGAGATATTCTGATAAAGTATTTTGAAGGAGGTGAGAAAGTCAAGGTTGTCAAATTACAAATCTTGCATCGACAATATGAGTTGTTGTCGATGGGAGAAGATGAAAAAGCTGCAGAATATGCGTCGAAGGTTCAGAAACTCGTCCATCTCATGAAGGGTTATGGTGAAACCATTACTGATAAGATGATAGTTAAAAAGGTAATGAAAACATTGACCTCTCACTTTGATCACGTTATCGTAGCTATTCAAGAATCCAACAATTTTGAAACCACTAAAGTGGAAGATTTGGTTAGTTCATTGGAGGCGCGTGAGATGAGGATTATCGAAAGGAAATGAGTTTAAGACTCGATACAGGAACTGCAAGCTCAATCATGGAAAAAAGATGGTGGTTCCAACAAATTCAAAGGCAAGTTCGACAAGACTCATGGCAAGAAGTCTTGGTTGAATCCCCATAAGAATAAGGTCGAAGATAGATCTTCTGAATCCTCGAAAAGGGGAGGAGGAAACTATCGAAAGGACAAAGAAGATAAGAAAGGTATGCAGTGTTATAATTGTAAAAAGTGGGGACACTTGGCCAAGAATTGTTGGTACAAAAAAGGTTGAAATTCTGGCTGCAGATACTCAATGTCACGTTCAATGTTATGACACCGTATCTGACTTTCTATAAGACAGTAAATACAAAAACAGTAAAGAACACAGTCAATTGTTTACCCAGTTCAGTGTGCAACAACACCTACTCTGGGGGCTACCAAGCCAGGGAGGAAATCCACTATAAGAGATGTTAATTCAGGAATAAACCAACCAGTTTATCTCCTTCACTCAAGACCTACCCAATGCAACTTCAATCTAAGTACAACTTAAACCTGAGTTCCTACTCACTCCCCCTCAATCACAGCAGTGATACATAAAACAATTTGACTAATGAATTGTTGAAGACACTCTTTAAAACATACACTTGATTAAGCTTCACAGCTTTTTAATCAAGCAACACAACCACTCTTGCTTCACAGCTTTGAGTGATACACAAACCTAACTTGACTCTGCTTCACAGCTTTAGTCAAGAGACATACAAACACTCTTGCTTCAAAGCTTTGAGTGCTACACAACCCTTACAATTAAAAACCTATTCCAAGTCACTTATCACAATGATAATTGCTTGGATTACAATAGTTAAAACTATACAGCTTACAAATGATCTTCTGTCCAAAAAGGGATTCCAATCAAAACAGCAGCCCTGTTGAATATATAGCAGCTGCATCTTCAGTTAGGGTTTCCACAAAAAGCTAGGGTTAATTCCGTTTGACCTTAAGACTAGGTCACAGGACTTTATCAACCAGGTTAGGGTTGAGCTAGGTTAACCCAAAGAAAACGCAGGATTCTGTTCTGGAAAGACTGAGTCATTTTCCTGAAAAAACTCAGAATTAACCAAACTGCATACCTGTTAGTTCAGAACAGGATGTCTTAACATCTGTTATGACATCTGAAAACATGTCTACTGATTTAGGAAAATGTGATCATTTTGCAAAATGCTCAGATACACACTTATAAACATCAGTACCTGTATGACAATATTTTTCTGCAAAGGTACCTAATGAATCAGTACAAACTAAACTAGAATGTTATGACATCAGTCATGACATTCACACATACACTTGGGATTTACCAAAAATGCAAGTCAATAACTAAACAACTACAAACTCCCCCTTTGGCAGATTTTTGGCTAAAGACCCTAAGTAATCAGAGATAGATAGCAGCAGAATAAAAATGACTGCAGAAAAATGGAATGTCAAATAAAGTATCACAATATATCTCCCCCTCTTTAGCCACAAATGGGCCAAAGATACATGTTCATAAAAATTATACAGTCATCCAGAAAAAGTAATAAGAGCAGCAACTAAAAACTGAACACACTTCCAAACTCCACCAGGGACCAGCATCAATTCCACCAAACAGCAACCAACCTTTAAGCACTGTCATCAGACTCAGAGGAGCTAGTTTCTTCAGTATTGAGATGACCTTCAGCTTCTACACCCTCTTCCCTTCTGTTTCCTTCAGCCTCCTCCTTTTCTAACCCGGCAATTAGGATTTCTAGGGTCTTTTTCCTAGCTTCCAGTTCTTTGCAGGTCTCTTTTAATACAGCTATGACATCAGATGTCTTGGACTGGGTCTTCACAGACGATGTCTCAGCTGATGTTATGACAATATCAGGAGCATGAGATCCCTGAAACAGTTTGTAGTGCAACCCAAGGGCAGGAGCTATTTTGCAAGCAGTATCTCTTGCCACCAGGATATCAGGGTATTGTGCAAGGATAATTCCACAAAGGAGGGAGGGAAAGGCAATTGGTCCTTTGACAGCATAACTACCAGCATGTTTTAAAGTTTGTTCAAAAATATACCTGCCATAGTCAAAAGCAGTCTTGGTTCCCACAGCATAAATAAATCTCCCCAATCCTGTGGAGATAGTTGATTTATGATTTGTAGGCACCCAGTTGGCTGCACCAATCTTGTGTAGGATGGCAAATTTCATGCTAAGTTTGCTGGCATTCAGCTTGCCTTTCAAGGGCCAGCACTTCACTTGCCTTGCTGTGATGGTTTGACAAACTTCATTGTCAGTGACTTCCAGGTCAGGACAATCCTCATTTGTTCTTCCAAGAAATTTGTTAATTTCTGATGGAGAGAAATTAACCCTTCTTCCTCTAACAAAAACACTTTCAAAGTCAGCTGACCTTCCATCAGCACAATCATTAGACAAGTTAACTATGAACTCCTTGACCAGATTTTCATAACACTAGTTAAATTTTATCACTGTCTTCATCAGTCCAGCATTCTTGATCAGGTCCATGATGTCTTTGCACTCCATGGCATCATTGTTGAGTTCTCTTTCTAAAGCTATTCTCTTTAAGCAAACATACTTCCATCTGTTTGCATTGTCAGGATGATGAAAAGAGATGTTGTCTGTTGGGACTTCAGGAACTCTAGCAATTTTGCTGGAGGGGAGCTTCCTTCTGATAGGAATTTCTTCAGCATCAATCTCAAACTCTGATTCCTCATCAGAATCAGAAGATTCAGGTTCTT